CATCTGGCTGCTTAGCAATATTCTTCACTGCTGGTGACTCCTCTGCATGCAAGTCCGAGGAGGCCCTCTGTGTTGCAGCTGCGTGTCCCTCCACTACAGTTGGACAAGGCAGACCAGCATAATAATCATAATCACAAGAATAATCACCTTTTTATTGGTCAAGTATGTTACACACAAGGAATTTGTTTCCGGTACAGAACCGATGGCAGCCATCTGCAGCCACCTCTGCCGATGGCTCTAACCATCGGGGGCAACGGGAGGGTTCAGTGTCTTGCCCAAGGACACTTTGACACGTGGACTGCTGGCACCGACATTTGAACCTTCAACCTTCTGGTTGGGAGACGACTGCTCTACCTACCGCACCACTGTCACCTCCCCTCTGCTTGCCTAGTTAGTTACCTTCCTGATTAACATCAGGTCTTTTAATAAACATAAACAACAAGAGTGAAGAAATGTCCAGGGTGATGTCTTTCACTGTCTTGTTTTGTTCAACAGTTTAATGACTACCACTAAATCCTCACCTCTGGGAGGATGGAACATGAGAACGTTTTATGTTCTTCATTATTTTCACTTTAAAAATGGCCAGATTAATAAATTATCAGAATAGTTGATGATTTTTTTTCTGTCAAGCAACTAATAGATTAACCAACTAATTGTTTCAGCCTGCTGTTCTTGAAGATTCACATCTTGGAGCTGAGAACCACAGACTGGGCAGAAAGTGCTGGTTTTTGGTCTTTTCATGGGATTTGCTGACTGAGAAAACTACAGAATATCAGTTGGTCAACTGATGGATTGTGGCAGTAGAGATAGAGATAGAACACATGGGGAGATAGAGAGGCATATAACAGGCAACAAGGGCCCCTCGTCCAGGACCTTACAGTAATGTGCCTTTACCCATCAGGCCCCATAAAAGCCTTTTCATTTTTTTTCATAGTCTGTAAAAAGAATCATCAGAAGTAGAAATGGACGGGTCTGATGGGACCTGAAACAACAATCTGAGGATGCATTTACATTTTAAATTCATTGTGTCCACTGATTGTTTCAGAGACGCTACAGGTGATGCTGCCAGTGCTTCTAACAAGAATCGGTTTTACAGCAGGAAAACTGTCAAACCCAGAAGTGTTTTCATCAACATGATGTCTAAGTGTCCAACAGTGACGTTCTAAACCTAATGACAGCGAGTCTGGATGCTTGGAAGTCAGTCACACATAAGTGTTTACTTGAGGAGGCAGCTAAAGTTTCAGTCTAGAGGGTGAGCTCTCACCGAATAACAGTGCATTGCTTACAGAGACAGAGGATTTACTGTGGCAGATGGGGCGGGAGTGTCTTCTATCAACAAATACCTTGTGTCATGAAAATTACATTATTAAATATGTTTTAAACTGTGTTCTAATCAATATATTAACCAACATATGCTATTCAATGGATTTTAACCTTTCAGAACAGACTACAGATCACAGGGACCTGTGAGACACTGCTTGTGTGAACTGAAGGAAATGTTTTATCTTTGTTTTCAGTACTGTTAGAAATTAATAAATTAGTCCTAGGGTGGCATTCCAGACTTAAAGGAGCCATCCATAAACTCTTTCCTGTCATATATTGTGAAGATGAATGGACAACATATTGTTTATCGTCTGAGGGGTTATCAGGGCAAAGCCTCTCAAGTTCACTTTTCCTGTTTGAATTTTCTTTTCTACTTGATTAACGCCTGGAATGCGTCTTTAGGGAGTTCCCTTTGTACTATATATTGTGATGTTTAGACTAGCTTATTCAGACAACTCTGTATGCCTATGCTGACTTGTCTCCTTGCTGCAAGTAAACCAATGCACTAAAATCGAGAAAGATGGACTCCTTCTTTACTCAGATCTGTCCAGTAAAAGAACTGGGGTATAACAACTTGGTGCCGTGACCTTCGGAATTGGCTGAATTCTGAGTTGGATTCCAGTCGGGAGTGAACGGACTCACTGATCAGTACTCTATGTGTTGTTATACAGTATGTTCAGCTGGGATGGTGTTCCAGACTTAAAGGAGCCAGCCATAAACCCTTTCCTGCCTTATATTGTGACGATGAATGGACAACATATTGTTTATCGCCTGAGGGGTTATCAGGGCAAAGCCTCTCAAGTTCACTTTTCCTTTTGAATCTTCTTTTCAACTTGATTAAGGCCTGGAATGCATCTTTAGGGAGTTCCCTTTGTCCTATATATTGTGATGTTTAGACTAGCTTATTCAGACAACTCTCTATGCCTATGTTGACTTGTCTCCTTGCTGCAAGTAAACCAATCTCTTATTGAAAGATTGCAGTGACTTCGTGGCTTCTTTTGAAAATTCTTTTAACACCTTGTTATTGTCCTTCTGCTTCCACCTCTCTTTTCCTTGAGGGCATGTTTTCATCAGCTATGTATGCGTAAGTATTCTGGATGGATTATGAGACACTGGAACATTCCACAAATCTAACAAGAGTTTGTGTCTCTCTCAGTTTGTTTTGCTTTCTGAGGTTGTTTTGCACATTAATTTTGTTGTATTGTGTCTTTGTCAATGTTTTTCATCTCATTTTAATTATTTTACAGTTTTTATAGTTCTGGACACTTGTTTTGTGAGTGTTGCTGCTGACAGCCACTTCACACAGAGGCCCTGGTCCAGGGGCCCTGAAAGTGTGCACGGTGGGGCCGTTCAGTAAAGGCCAGTTCATACATTCCACATACTGTTGTACAAATGGGGGGAGGCATATGAGTTCAGTTTCACACTTCCTGTCCGCGTATGCTCTGGTGCACATGCCGTTGGGGCTTTTTGTCAAGTTGAAAGTTTGTGCACACAAATTTTTTGGCTGAACCCAGATGACCACACAGCATCCTTGCAGACCAGAGATGATGATGAAGTTTACATCAGTGGACCGTAACAAAGGTGTGGAAAGTATGAACTGGCCCTAATCCATCTATGGTTAGTACAGATGTTTAAACAGCTACAAAGAGCAAGCGGTAGGCATCTGCGTCCCCGAGTCTCTGCTGGATGGTCTGTACATTGTGCAGCAAAGCATTTAAAGCCTTCACCTCCATGGCTGAGCATTTTGTTTGATTGGAGATAGTCTTGTTTGCTGCATGAACAACTGCAGCAGCTGTCGGCCTCTCCCAGTTTGTTTGGTTTCTAACCCATCCATCCATCTTCCTCCGCTTATCCAGAGCCGGGTCGCAGGGGCAGCAGTCTTAACAAAGATGCCCAGACTTCCCTCTCTCCAGACACTTCTTCCAGCTCCTCCGGGGGGATGCCGAGGCGTTCCCAGGCCAGCCGAGCGACA